ACATATCGAATTTCGAATGCGAAATGTTTTATTCAAACAATCGAATTTTTACTCGATTCGGACCCAAGTACTAGCAGCGCCTGCTGGGGTAAAACTTGCAGGTCACAGTCACAGAAAAAACCATTGTTTGCAAGAGTCTCTTATTCAATCTTGCTTTTTCCTTCTTCTTCGAAAGGTATCGTTCTGGTCCGCTTATGTGCACGTCTACTGACCTATGCAAAAAAAGTAAAATGAGAATGGTAGAGATTGCTTGAGGTCGCGAAAGATGTTGGATGGCTATATGTCGCCGAAAGAAGGTGTCCAGCGGACATCTGCGATAGAGCATGCAGCTTCACACGCTACAGGCATTTCAGACTTGTGACAACTGTTCGAAAGGGGGGGGGGCGGTAGAGCCTACTGGCGAGGTAAGTCCCTAAAAGCCGGAAGGGAAGGTTCCACGGGACACCGCGCACCAACACTAACACCAGTAACATCAACACCTTCCCTTTTGCAATACCGCGCGCTTTCACCTACAACCTGCTGTCCGCCCTTGTATGGAGCCTATTGGCGAAATAATGTCCTCTGCCTAGCTGGGACCAAGGAGTAACCTTTTTTTGAAATAGTGCCGGAAACGACCAGCTCATCACTGATGTCAATGACTTACTACCATCATCATTGTATTGCACGACGATTCATAACATGATCAATACTCAGTTTCATAGAATCTTGCATATCGAAAGATACCTTCAGGATTGATTGATCAATCAAAAATACACTAATTTCCGGTAAGTAGAGGTCCTATGTTCTGTCTAACCTGTGCACAATTGGTGACGGCTTGTAATTAGCCTACATGAACTCCTAACCGTGTCCTAATCTCGAGCCTCTTTGCAAACTAATGCAATTTTCTCACCGTTATGTTGAAAATTCTAGAGTTTGCACTTACTGCTCACCGCCGAATTTTTCCATTCTATTATGAACAAAAGAGATGTCAGAGCTTCTCATAGGAGAATGAAATGGGTTTGAAGTCTTCAAATGAAGTCATACTATATGAAATCACGTTTTTGTAAATGTGAGTAACAAAAGTCTTATTCTGATGTTGTCCAGCTCTATGAACAACAATATACATCAAGTTGTATAAATTGAGAAGCCTGGATTGAATTATATGTGCAATTCGTGCAAAAAACTCCATCATTTCCATATTCGCTCGACAATAAAGGGCACAGCGGGACTCGTGTGTGCGATCTGGCAAGTTTAGATGTCCCACGGCAGGTCCAATCTCGGCTGATCGCGGTTTGCTGCTCGTTTAATAAATCACAGACTGGACGGCTGTCTGGCACTCGTTTATAATGATAAAAAAGCGCCCAAACAGCTAGGGTGATTGATAAGTCGCCGTCAGGGGTTCAATGCTAATCTCCCCTCCCAAAAAAACAATGATAAAACTTCTCGATGAGGACCCCTTATGGAGATAAGAGCGATGCGATTTGAATATTTAGATATCGACGAAAAGAAGATTCATTTCTTGATGCAAACTTCTAGCTTTCCTGTATTTATTGTATCTTACCGTTGGCTACCATTGGAGGCGGTTGCCTCAAGGCCTGAAGAACATCCGGCGCTGGCGATTGAGGAGGTGTAGCGGAAGCTGCTATTAACGGAGGTGGAGCATTTAGCGGAACACCAGGATGACTCGCAGCTGGAGAGTAAGCTTGAGCTGGCGCTTGACCGAGTACAGGCAGCTTCGATACGTAGTCGTCAAAAGAAGCTTTGAACTTAGTGAACATCTGCAAGAGGGGAGCTCAGCAAGGTAACACTTCCGTCGCAAACCTGGAGAAGTTCTGGATCTTTCCAATATTCCATAGCTTTTCCGTATTCACATAATGCCTCAGCCACATAGACATATTGAACTTCTACTTGTACACTGTGCATCCGCTGGTCTAGAAATGTAGTACTTATAATCGCTCTGTTTTTCTAAGCATGTGTGCATGCGTACCTCGTATTTTACGACAGACGTCTAATAAATTTAGTTTTTGGCCTGCCAGCAGCGTTTGTAAACCCATCTCTATCGCCACCTGGTGCAAGGCAACACAGTGAATTCCCACGTTTACAATTTTACGCAAACATACCACCGATCCCGTCCTTCCGATTCCAGCTGAACAATGTATGACAATTGGACGAGACGTGCCTCGCACCACTTGTAAGATTCGAAATACGGCTAATAACGATTTTGGCACTGTTTTGTCAGGCCTAAAACTTTTCTTCGGGCTGTCGTAATCTAAAATCTTATTACCATGTCTTCCAACGATGATGCTTCACGAAGAGTCGTTGCCCATTCTTCACCATTACTTCTATTGTGGATCTAACTACATGATGGTCGCTAGCGTTCACTTTTATGTTGGTAAGCGTAAAATCTAAAAATTACAATTCATTAGCGAGCACTTCTGTACCGAACTTCTTCTGCATTCGAACTTCGGTGAAGTCCAGGATAGGAATCAAGGTTCAAATATTGTAGGATTCTGATTCTGATTAAAATATATTTTCCACAAATTGTCGCTAAGGAGACTCCAGAACTTTCACGTGGCAGTTAGTGAGCTGCTCGAGAACCAAAACGTTCTATGCTCTTATGCTATATCTGTAAAGCAAGCGGAGCCACTAGACGAAGTCTGTGGCTCCGCTTACTTCTATCAAGCTTGCGACCTAACTCTTAGGGTAGGTATGAGGTGGTTGTAAGCATTTCCGTGAGAGTGCCGGAAGCCGTGATTCACATGTTTAGGGCGTGACTGACCGACG